GTGTTAGCTTTTAGGCTGAATGAGACAGAAAACGGATATAGAGGTATATGCTTTCTGGAGCGGGAAATAGAGACGTTTGCTTTGTCTGAGTTAAATTCAAAAATATTTATTTTTCATCCAATCATTAATTGAATTGAGACAGTCAATCTACCCCTCGTCTCAGCCTAAGCTGAGCTGTGCAGTCTCAAACTGCTCTCAGCCTAAATACAGAATATAATCATGTAACTGCAGATGATCTCTGGATTTACTATTGGAAATGAAGCCATGCAGCAGCATATAAAGCACTTCAAACTGACCCCACTTTGCATTATTAGGACTTCAGGTTCTGTGTGCAACTTTCTTCAAATCGTTCATTATTACAGGTTCAGGTTTACACTGACTGGCCCAAAAAAGGTTCTCAGCTGTAACATTTATTTTCCAATATCTCATATCGATGAGGGGAGATCCGCACTGCTGTGCAACATGTTCTCCAGCACATCCCAAAGATTCTCAGTGGGGTTAGGATCTTACTGAACCTGAACTGAGACCTTCAACCCAACGGAAGACCCTTATTTCTTTAGTTAAATTGAGGCGGTGTATTTGGTCTTTATTTACTACAATGGGGGCTTTTCAATATTGTGGCATTTTCATTTTTGTTAACCCTTTTCAGCATGGTTGTGTCTGCATCAGAGTGAGGCATTGAAGGAAATAGTTACTGTACTCTGAACACTTTGGCAGGTTTTGATTTTGGTCATCACATGAACAGTTTTCACACTGTTCTGTACAGCAACATGATTTCAATGAGTTACAAGGACAATAATGATAAAACTGTGAACTTCATCTGCTGTTCAGAGTCCTACACTGGAATGAAAACAGCCCAGCATGTGCACCACTTCCTGCTGCAGTCAGTAAACAGTCTGAAATCTCCTTTCACTCCTCTCATTGAACTGCTGTTTATCTTACAAAAGTGAATGAGCGAACAAGCGAGTGGTTTCAGACACAGCTTGGTCTGTCGTTATGTGGTTCGAACACCACTGTAATCCAATAAATCGCAAAGTGACCACTGACGTGGTGCTGACTTCATTTGTCTGATGAACGCTCAAGTGGCTTCATTCTTTTCGTTTCATTCAGCGGCTGCTTGAGAGAGCTCAAACCAGTTTGACCTTTTAATGGTCTTTCTTGTGCTGACACTGCACATGAGAGCGCACAATAGCTCACTGCATGAGCCCAGCCTAATGACTTCCTGTAATCTAGCTACAGTATCTGTGTTGCAACATTCCTTTCACCGACCTGATGTGAGATAAAACCTGTAGCAAGGCTGTGACCTTTTTTTGTGCTTTGCACCATGAAATCAAACCATTGAATGAAACACCTGAAAGAAAAATAGATAGAGAGAGAGAAGAAAGGCTGAGGCTGCAGCTGGGGTTTGAAAGGAAATCTTTCTAAATTCGGCACAGATGGGTCTCTAGGAGGAAGCGGTCCTCATCCACAGTCCGCTGTCGGGTCTCACGATGGCCGCAGAGTGGGTTATTTTTCAAGACAAGATCATCTGGAGATGGCCTCCTCGAGCAGAGCTGAAGCAGAAACAGAATGGCAATGTCAGTAGAGCTGAATCAGGTGCAAGTGTTTGACCTAATTGGGAACTGGTTCTATCTTCTCTCCTTTAAATATAACAGTAAGATAAACAGCTTTTGGTTTTTGTACTGAATTAATCTGAAGATGCCGCCTTGGCTTGTAATCTTTGCTACATTTTGACATTGGTTAGACAAAATATTCATTCATCCCACAAAGAAAAGAGGTTAATTAATGAATGACTTGAACAGCAGCAAACAACTCATCTGTTGTTGCACAAAAAGTATTAACCCAATAAATCAGTGGGTCAATAATGAGGCTGACAGTTAAATGAATATCAGTACGAGCTTGTCATGTTTTACAGGAGGTCTGGTAGTCCCGACTAGTCTAATGGAAATTTTAACACTGCAACAGAGTGATTCCTGCTGTCCAGATGTTTCGCTCTCTTCTTTCTCCATCTGCTTTTTACTCATGACTAATAAAGGCAAAAATACTACATAATACAAAAGAACTTCAGGTCTTATTTGTTTTTAAATTTAGGATCAATATTACAAATTTTGGAGAAGTGGTCTGCAGTGCTGCATTTTCTTTGGTATTGTTTAATCACAATTACTACTAATAGGGCTACTGGACCAGAAAAACATGTTTGCTTTTCACAGTGACTCCACAGCTACATCTGCACACAATTATCTACATTTTCTCTGTTCATTGTTTAAAGTAATAAATAATTAATTAATTCTGTCTTCAAGTAATTGTTGTGAAGACGTTTGCCTTCCACTCACAATTTAAAGCTCACATTAAGAATTTAAGTTCCTTTCAGAGGTTTGTGAACTAATTTTGTGTTCAATTAAATGAATTCTTTCCTCCTTAAGGAAAACTTGGTGATTTTGTACTTATGTGTTTTAGCTTTTGGCCTTCACATATGTGTTTCCTAATGTTCACCAGATCCTGATCACTGAAACACTGTTTAAGCATTTGTCATATCATCCACACACATCAGGTCACGTAGAGAAAACACTGACCTACATGACGAAACATTCTTGTTGTCCAAAAAAAACTATACAAACAATTTTATCTCTCGACTCTTTAAAAATAAATAAATAAATAAATAAATAAATAAATAAATCAGCTTTGCATGATTCAGAGCTCAAAACAATCCTTTTTTATCTTTATACTGGACCTTTAGGACCACCCTCCGTTTCTTTCTATTTCTGCTGTTTAATGTTGAAGCGTTTGAGTTAGAAGGGTGAAACTCACTCACTTGGGCACTTGTGCAATGGTCTGTACTGTAATCTAAACCTCTCACAGTGGTTGGTCTCTATATATCTGCTGCTCAGCTCAGGCCTGAGAACCATTTAAACAGCAGCCCTGCAGCCTGTTGCTGGATTACCAGCATCTCTGTTACTTATTGAATTCTGATGCAGTTTAATCTTCTCTAATTCTGCAGCTGTTTTCAAATATAAAGTGGAATCCAAGCCCTCAGTTTTGCACCATCACTGTTTATACTGCCATTTTCTGTTCCACTCCGTAGACCTCTGTGACCTACAGTTACTTTTAGTGTGCAGATAAAAATT